AATGTCTTCTCCAGACTCTCTGCCCCTTCTCCCCAACTCTGCAGGCCCCCTCTGGGCAGGCACTGGGCCTGACCCCCAGCCAAGTCCCCCTGCTCCTAGCCGTGCCCAGAACAGCCACGGTCACCACATTGGTCCACCTCCCTCTTCTGCTTTTCTTTAAAGACTTATTTGTTTATTTGAGAGAGAGAGAGAGAGGGAGAACGAGGGGCGAAGGAAGGGGAGAGAGAATCCTCAAGCAGACTCCCTGCTGAGTGTGGACCCCAATGTGGGGCTCGATTCCAGGACCGTGAGATCATGACCTGAGCCGAAATCAAGAGTCTGATGCTCAACCAACGGAGCCACCCAGGCACCCCCTCTTCTGCTTTTCTAACAAGGCAGCTCATTGGCGAGTCTGGGGCTGGGTCCAGCCAAGAAGAGGCGATGCTGCCCGCAACATGCTCACAAAATGTGGCTCTGGGAAGACAGCCCTCTCTTCTGACCTTTGCAAGGGCATCCTCCAGTCTGACCCAGGGGCTCTCTGCCAGTTCACCTTACCTGGATTTCCAGGCAATTCCCCCAGGAGCTGAGTCAGCTGGAGTGACCAGGCTGTGTCTCTCTGCTGGTGAGATGCCGCTGGGCTGGCGGGCTGGGAAGAACGGCCTCAGTGGGATCACCGAGAATGGAGCCACCAGGGCTCTGAGTTGCTGGAGATGCCTCATCTTACCTTTTTCCCTTCAAAGGGTGAGCCCCTGACTCTGGTCCCCATCCCAGGAGTAGTATGCCTACTGTGAGCCAGGCCGCAGATTACATGCCCAGCCCTTTGAACATGCTTTGTAGGTTGGTATGATGAGGACCGTTTTTCAGATGTGGAAGGAAACCGAGACTCAGAAGTAAGTAAATATGTTTTAACAACTACTAAGAGGTGGATCTGGGTTTTGAGCCCAAATCTGTCTGATTCCCAGGCTTGCTGTCTCCCCAGTTAGATGCCAAGATACACAGACCTCTCTCCTATTCTTGGAGGGCATGTCTGGCTTTCTCTCCTTCCTTAGCCCAGAGGAAGAGCCTAGAGAGACTCAAATGGACAGTGTCAAGCATGAGGCAGATGGAGGAGGGGAGAAATTCTGGCTCTCCTGTCTTCTCAGAGAGCTCTCATTCACTGATTTTCTCCACAATGGAGAGGCCGGCTGGGTACTGGGCTGGCAATCGCTTATACTCGTTATAACATGATCCTGATACCCTCCAGGGACACAGAACCCAGGGTCTTAAACAACTGAGTTTTTAAACCCCAGCTTACACCTGCCCAGTCTTAGCCATCTGAAAACGTCCGGGGGTCTCATGAGGAACTTTAGCAATGGTGACAGTATTTTCATAGAATTCGAGGGGAAGGAATGGGGCTCCATGAAGGATACAGCCACTGACTTGGTCAGAGCAGAGCAAAGACCCACCACCCCCAAGAAGGATCAGTGAGAGAATATCTGGCCCCCGAACTGAGTTCAGTGAACTAGAGACAGAAGTATGTATGTGTAACAGCAGTTCACTTGGTGATGCCTAGATGGTGGTGATTTGGCTGTGTGTGTGTGTGTGGGTGTGTGTGTGTGGGTGTGTGTGTAGTGGGGGAGGAATACCAAATACACTATCTGGATTGTAACTCTCAGTCAGTTCAAACCCAGCTTTTGCTCATGGACAATCACAAAATAAAAATAAAAATAAAAAAAGCAATTAACTAGAGAGAATACACCTAAAATACTTGGGGATCTCTGGACACGTCAGAGGTACAGGGTCTGGTGCTCACCATAGTAACAGCCCTTTCCTGTTCCAAGCGTGGACTGCCGAGTTCCCAGTGGCCAGTCACGGCCCAGGAAGCAGGAAGCCGCAGAGCACCACTGATGTAGGTGCTCCTCGGGGCTCCGCTGCTCCGGGCGCTCGCAGTTCTTTCTGTGCTCCCTCGTACCCCGTCTTTCATTGTGCCAGCGCGAGGCTGCAAACTGATTATATCCTGCCACATTTTTGGCTTTGAATTGTCCTTTGTTTTATGAAATAATGTTCTGAGGAGTTGGCAGGTTTTTTTCCCTAATGTCCTTACCTGGCAAAATAAAAAATGATCAACCCTCTATTTCCCTAATTGTTTGGAAATTTTACTGGTCGGTGAAATCCAAACAACCGGAACCCCTAATGAAAACTCTCCTACTTGTATTCCACAGGGGGAGGAGAAGAGTGGGGAAACGGAGTCAGGAACATCCCATGCCTCCCCCCCATCCTCAAGCAGTGGGAATCTGCTATCTGGGAAAGAGGTAGTAGATTTTTTTTTTTTTTTCCTCTCAAAGCTGCCTCTATCTTCTCAATAGGTGAAGGGATGCCCAGTTGTTCACATTCATGTTTTCTAACAGGATCTGTAGTCTTTCTATGACTTGGCACAGACCTCAAGAAAACATCCTAAAATCTTAATGCACGGCGATATATAGCAGCAGCATCATAAACCAGCAGCATCACATTTTCACAGGAATCCAGGGATCCATAAAGGACAGGGGCAGGCGAGAGCGCGAGTCCTTTGCACACACATCCCGAACCTCCAAGTTTGTTTATCCATAATTGCTATGCAAGTATAAATTAGAAAAACAAATGCATCCTGCCTGGAAATGGTGACACCAACCCTGTAAATAATTATAATTTAATCTTATAGCAAAGAGTTCTGAATGACTCCCCTAATGATTTCGTCTGCTTAATTCCTTCCCCACTGAGTGACTTAATAGGAAAAGGAATAGTCTTTCAGATTTGTTTCACTCCAGAAGTTTGGACAACGTGTGGATTCACACCTGGGCGGGGGCAGAAGCTGTGGGAGACCATTTGGCCCACAGATAAACAAGGGAGTCGAAGAGGCTTTGGGACTAAAAGAGACAGAACTGGCAGGCCTATTCATCTTGGCAACTGTTTACAGAAGCAAAAACTTGGGAACGACCTAATAAGAGATCCGATGAGTAAACCCTTGTCGGTCTGACGAGGGAATGCCCCACAGCCGTGGCAAGCCTTCGCAAATGTAAGGTGTGTGACGGAACATGCTGTCACGGCTACAGTGATGGCCTTCCACGTCCAACTGACCTGGGGTCGAATCCTGGCTCTGCTCCTTACTAGCTGTGTGACTTCAAGCAAGTGACACAACCTCTCTGGACCTCATTTTCCTCATCTGTAAAAGGAGGAAAAGGATGCTACCTACTTCACAGAGTTTCTATAAGGAAGAAATGAAATTCCAGCCGTAAGAGCTTAGAACCAGCCTGCGATGCATTGATAACAAATGCTCAACAAATGATGCTATTATTGTGCCTCTTATGTTTTGGAAGCATCTGCAATAATATAGGGAAAATTTTCATTATACAATGCTAACTTAAAAATATATAACCACAGATAGAGTTTAGGATCCTAATTTTGTAATATTAAAACATATATAAATAGCCAGCTAGCTTGATCCAAGCAAAGCAAAAAAAGGCCGAAGGGGAGTACATCAAACTCTTAATATTTCTTATTCATTTCTCCATGTCTTTTTATGTTTTCTGTAAGAAGCAGATGTGTTACATTTACAGTCACAAAAACAGGTATTTAACAAAAAGAGGCAGGGGGAGGGAGGGCCTCGGGCTGGCAGGGCACTGAGGTCCCAGTGCAGAAGAGGGGCACCCAGGCTTTCGTCCCCACTCCTAGCACCACATGTCCAGCCGCTGCCCCAGACTATTGACAGAACAGCCACCTACCCACAGCTGTCTGTTTTTGGCTCACATGTGCTTTTCTCAACTCCCCATCCAGGGGAGTGAATGATCTGGCCAAGTTCACTCAACAAGCTTATGACACCAAGATCTTCTGACTCCCAGGTCGGATTGCCTTCCACTGTACCAGGACATTTGAGTTCTCGGGGCTACACCGGTCCCCAGATCTCCAAGTCCATATTGGGAGGATTTCAGTTCCCATTCTATCTCCCTGAAATAGTCAAACTTGGTTCCTACTGTGGGTTTGTCTGGTTTTCTCACCCTCCAAGGACCTTGTCTTACACAGCTGATGTTTCTACCACGTGGCATGACACCTTGTCTGAAAGAGGTATTCAACAAATGTGCCCCTACCTCCTGTTTGCTTCCTCCCCCTCCCTTCCTCCCACTCACACTGACCACCACGTCTCCTTCCCAGGCACCGTCCTCCCCTGACTCTCAGAGTCCTTGGGGACACCTCTTCTGCCCTCCTCCCCTGTGCCACAATGAAGCCTGCAAGATGTCCCCTATCTTATCTGAAGCACATCTTGACACACCCTTCTGTGGGCACCTGAGGTGCGGACACAGGTCCCCCTGCGCCCTCATCCTGATAACACAGCCACGAGGAGACGACAAGAGAATATTCTAACCCCGTACCACCACTCAAGGCTTGTCACCCAAACCGGAAGCTGGACACTTCTGGAAGCCAACCTCCGCTCGGGCATGTCCTAAGGGTCTAAGTCTGGGACGTTATGAGCAACTAAGGCTGAGAAGTCATGTCATCCTTCTCCTCCTGAACCCATCAACACAGAGTCTCCATGGCGAGTAGAGCAAGCCAGACGACAGGGAGAAGGTTAGTCCTTCCCATCAGAAACCCAGACATAATGCCTTGCCGGTGCAGGGCCCTGGGAACTGCCACTTAACGATTCTGTTCCCTTTGTTGGATGCTAGAATATGCCCTCCACAATTGCAACTGTACTTCAATCATTGCACTGAGACCCATGGCCTGAGAAACAGGACATTTTTAGCCTCAGTGCAAGTCACTCCATCAAGGTTCAACACGAAATTCTTCAGCAAGGGTATACTTCAAATCAGATACCAAAATCACTGTAAAAATGGACCCCGGCTCTGAAAACATGCAGTGAGTTTTCATCACGATGAGAACCACACTTGTCAACTGTGGGTCCAAGATGTGGCAAGGGGGTCTCCGAGCGCAGGCCCCACCGCTGAGGAGAGTGTGCATCCGGGTGAGCCCCGGTTTCTGGGGACCAGGGAGGGGGCAGGGCAGTGCGCTTACCACAGGGAGGAGCCTTCAGTGCCTGTGACTTCCAGAAAGTCGTAACCGTCCTCCAGCTGGAAGTCGATAAAGACTAGGGCGATGGTGTCTCCCAGCTCTGCCAGGATGGTCCACGTGCAGTCAGCATTGTTGTGGTACTCCGACGGGAAGTGGGGGCTAGAGATGATGCCACTCTGACCCCGCAGCGTCCCCCCGCAGGCATCGTCAGCTGTGGACACAAAGACAAGGGGCTCATGTGAGCTGTTCTTGTTCTCAGGCCCTGGCACTCGTGGGCTTTACCCATGACAGGCAGGAAGGGTCCCAGCACGGGACACACAGGCAAGATGGGCCGAGAGCGGTGTCTGACCTGGCCTAGGAATAACGCCACCAGATACTTCCATCGCCCTTACCATGCACCAGGCCCTGTTCTGAGAATTTCAGATCTGACTGTTCTCACTGAACAGACGAGGAAACCGAGGCACAGGGAGGTTATGTCACCTACTTAAGGTCACACAGCCACTGAGCTGGGACTGAACTCTGACATTCAGCGCACCTTTGGGGTACCACACGTACTGCTCTGCCATAAGCAAAGAAGGACTCAGCTTTACTGCCACTGTGGGGAACAGAACATTTCTTCCCACCTGATCTTAGGAAGCCTCCAATGTGGGGAAACAAAACGAAAACCCAACACAAATCCCTGGGGCGACACTCAAAGAGCTGCCTGGCCAGACCTCTGCGATCCTCCGTCCTACCCTTGTCTGTGGGCCAACTCTGTTCTCACGCCACGCACGGTCAGCCTGCTGCCCTTCACTCACACTGCTCCCTTGGCCTAGGATGCCGTCTTGAGGCCCGCCTCCAATGCCGCCTCTTGGGAGAGCCTCATGCCCTCCAGTGTTTAGTGACTGCTCTCTCCTCTGGGCTCCCACCGCAACACGTCCGACAGTAGACACGGTGGTACACTGCCTTGTCCAAGTGACCCGTTCATCCGTCTGTCTGCCACACCGGTTCTGAGCTCCGCTGGGAACTTCCAAGGGCAGGGACATTTTACTCCTCCTGCCACACAACCTGGCAGTCACAACACTCCAGCTGAAACCCCATTTGAGGCTTGATGTTCCCAAAAAAATGATCTGGGGAACATGCTCTGACATAGAGTAGTTAAGAGGCCTGGTGTCTGAATTATTGCAGACGGCAATCTGAATCCTTTCCCTGCTGCTCACTAGCTGGGCGGTGTAGAGGAAGTCATCCAAACCCCAAGCCTGTTGTCCTGGAGCCTGTATGCACGCGAGCGAGTATAGTACACTTAGCATGTGTTGTTAGAGGCAGGACTACGTGCGGAAGGAAGGAGAAAGGCAGTAGCCATGTTCCAACATGTGCCAGAGGCAGCCTAGTAACAATAACGAAAGCTCATATTTCTTGAGCACTTAAACTACGCCAGGCACCATTCTAACAATGCTTTGAATTTCATGTAGTCCTTACTTTGACCCTGTAAAGTATCATTCCCATTTTGCAGGTAAGGAAACCAAGGCACGCAGAGACTCAGGCATTTGCTGCAGGTGACACAGCTCATAGTGACTGCAGGAGCTGAAATTCCAAGCCTGATTCCAGAGCCTGTGTCCTTAACCAATACAGTCTCCCGTCTCCCAGGAGTATGGTTCATATGTGGAGGACATAGATAAAACCGCAAATTACTTTGCTTGGGTGAGTCAGTTTGGGAAAAGTTAACAGAGGAGATGCCCTTAGAGCTAGGTTTTGAAGGATGAATAGGAGTTCTCTAGATAGAGAAGAAAGGGAACGGCATTTAAGAAAACAGGGAGACGAATGTCATAAGCCCAGAAGTACAAAGGCACACGGCATGCTTAAGATAAGTGGTTCTAGGGCGCCTGGGTGGCTCAGTTGGTAAAGCAACTGCCTTCGGCTCAGGTCATGATCCTGGAGTCCCGGGATCGAGTCTTTTAAAGGATTTTATTTATTTATTTGAGAGAGAGCATGAGTGGCGGTAAGGGTCAGAGGGAGAGGGAGAAGCAAACTCACCCGCTGACTTTAAGTTCTACTATCGGGCTCCCTGCTCAGCGAGGAGCCTGCTTCTCCCTCTGACCCTCCCCCCTCTCATGTACTCTCTCTCATTCTTGCTCTCTCAAATGGATAAATAAATCTTAAAAAAAAAAAATTAAAAAAAAAAAGATAAGTGGTTCTAGATGGCTTATCACAGAGCAAACCGAGAGGAATGGTGGGTGATAGTACTGGAAATGGAGAAGGAGCCACGTGACAGAGAACGCTGGGCCAAGAAGATTTGGAAGCAGCGGACTATATTGGAAAGAAAATGGATTTGGGGGTCAGGAAGGCCTAGATCTGAATTCAGCCTCCACAATTCCCCAGCTTCAATTCTGGCAGCTTCATCTGGCTTTCTTGTACGATGGTTTGCTGGGATAACTGAATGGGATCGTTAATGGGACAGTGCCTAGTGTCAGCCAGCGGCTGGCCCATGTAGATGCCCAACAAGTACTAAGTTCTCCTTTTCCTTCCACTTCATCTTGGTAATCAAAGGTAGTGAAGGAATATGATTAAATTTGCATTTTAGAAAGATCACTGGGGCCATGGCACAGAGGAGGTCTGAGTCAGGGGAGTGGGCAGGATGCTTTTGGTAGGACATAGTCACCAAAGTCCAGGGGAGGCCAGATGAGATCGGAGCTGAGACCTTGGGGACTGCAGGAAGAGCACTGATTTCAGAGACATTTAAGAAGCAGAATCTACAGGCTTTGGCAGTTGGGAGGGATGAGCTCCCGGTTTGGGGCATGAGAATCTGGATGAATGAAATGTACCTCCCGTGACAGGGAACCCAGGAGGGGGATACCTTGTGGTGGGGAAGGCAAGCAGGAGTCCAGTTTTGGATTCCAGGGCTGAGTGTATATGTGGGATGTCCTGGTGGAGAGACGGAGCTGACAGCTGCATATACAGAAGCAGTGTGGGATGGAGGTTAAGGTGAGTTCATCTGGGGGTCCTGAACTATTCTGATTAATGCCATTGTACAGGGTCAAGGTCTGTTTCAAGAGAATGAGCCTATTTCCAAATGCGAACTCTTAGCGTGGAGAGGTTGTCCTAACCATCAAAGCCTCAATGAGTGGCAGTGCCAGTGGGAGGAAGAGAAGGAACAGAAGGATTCAGGAGCCAGGCAGGGAAGAAGAGAAAGGACATGGTCTCCACCCAGGAGTGGCCAGCGAGGGAGAGGAGGAGGGAAGGAGGAGGTGGAGGTTTCTAACAGGGCAGCATTATGATGCTGTTTGGGTAAAGGGGGGGGAGGGGGCGAAAGAGAAGGAGCTCTGCGAGACAGTGATGGCCCTCAGCACTCCCATGCTGATTATGAGCTGCTGAGGGTAAACAGGTGGCAGCGCCCACAGAGAGCACGGGCCCGGGAGCCTGCGAGGCTGGGAGTCAGCGGGATGAAGAGCAACGGTGGCTCCACGGGAGTAAAGAAGGCCCGGGATGAGCGACATTTAATGATCAGCAGGCAGAAGCAAAGGCCCCTGAAAGGAAGAGCGGTCGGGGTCAGGCAGGAGGGGAACTCCGGGTGGGGGGATGGGGTGAGGGAGCAGTGTCAGGAGTGCGGGACGGAGTGGCAAGCCCTGGTCCACGCTGTCCCGTTTCCTCGGGCCTGTGAGTCCAGGTCAGCGCAGCAGCCGGGCCATGCTGGAGGGGAGCAGGTCATGGGGGAAGACAGTGACTCAGGCCTCTGTGTGGTGCTGGTCTTAGAGACCCAAGCAGACATCCTACACTGTTCTTAAAACTTAGCCACCCAAGCCCACCTCGTGCTCTCCGCCCACCGACCCTGACCTTCCGGCATTTCCTTCCCGGAGAGTGTGGGCGCCATCCACCCAGTGCCTTGTGCCAGAGGGCTGGGGCCATTGGCCCCCTCGTCTGCGTGCCACACCCAGCCGGAGACCACACCCCGTCCTTCCCTGTAAGTAGCTCTTGACCCGGCCTCACATCTGCCCTGCACCTGCTCCACATGAAGCCACGTGACCGTCCAAGTCAACCACAGCCCTGAGGCCTACCCCTGGTCTCCAAACATCCCTCCTGCTCCAGCCCGTCATTCCTCACACACAAGCCTGAGTGATCCTGGAAACACAGACCTGAGGACACCCCTCCTCTCTGTAAGAACCTTCAATAACTCCCACTGTCACTCATGAGAGTAGAACATCCTGTGGCTTATAAAGACGTACGGGGCCTTACTTCACACCAGTCTCTCCCCGCCCACTTCCCACTGCCACCCTGGCCTCCTTCCAGCTCTTCTGATGTACCAAGCATCTCCCTGCTCCAGGACCTGGAAAGTGCCAGTTACTCTTTCTGGAAACTTCTTCCCTACCTCGTTGGGCCTGGCTGGCCCCTCCTCAGCCTTTAGGTCCCAGTCTAAGTGTCACTTCCTCAAGGATCTTTCCAGATACAGAAACCCCTTCCCCCCATCTTATGCTTTCAGAGCAGGACATACTTTCTCATAATGAATCATTTCCCCAAATTCATTGATGGGTTATGTCACTTATTTAATGTCTAGACTGTATACTCCATGAGGGCAGGGGCCATGTCTGTGGGCAGCGAGCCTGGGCAGAGGCTGCTCGGTCACTGTGGCTGGGTGGTGTGCAGCCCCTCATGGCCCTAAGTGCCTTCTGCCATCCAGGAGCCGCCACAGAGCCGCTGCCTGAGGCAGGGGCTTTGCCAAGTTCGTTCTCCATGTGAGGTGTAAGTTTCACCTGAAGAAATGTCTTTTAGAACAACATACCTTTGCCTCTGGACCCAGAAGCTCGGTAGCAAGTCTCTCTTGCTGGGAAGGACAAAGGACTGTTGACATCAAGCAAAGGGTTTAATGTCGCTCAATGGAGCCTCGGGGCTACTCAGCTCGGAGGAAATGAAAATGCCCCCAACACCTACCACTTCTCTTGGCATATGGCAGGCACACTCAATAAACAGCTGTTGAACAAGGAAATGAAACAGGACGGGGAAGCTCAGAGAGGTTAAGGAACTTCCCTAAGGTCACACAGTGGATGGCCAGTTAGGATTCCAGCTGAGTCTCTCTGGCACCAGGACTGTGGCTTCTTTCAAGACACCACATGTCCCTGCTTAAAAGCAGTCTGGTAAGCCATCCTGAGATGGTCACTCTTTAGTGACTCACAAACTTCAGTAGCTCCACAAATATCAAAGCTCCTAACCTTAGTCAATGGTTTCTAGACTGTGCTGGTA